CATGAAGGGGCCTGAGGGGGTGTCACTTGCAAACATGTTTGAGGAGGACTCTTTGGGTGCTCATGCTCTGTGGTTGTACTTGCTACTACACATGTTGCATGTCTCAGTATTAAAAATCTCCACCCAGAGGTGTGTTTTTTACTACCATAGTGAGCAAAAGGCTATTCTAGGTTATCTCTCCAATAACTATATCTAGTTATTGGAGGAGTGCATAATTTCTTCAGTGGAGAAAGTCCCTGCTATGGCTGTTTCTGGCTAGGGCCTGGTAAGTTCCCTCCAGGAGCGGAGGGACCAACCACAAGGCCAGATGTAGCCAGTGTGGCCATTGTCCTTTTTGCTATTAGTGCACAGTGCTGATGATTAGTGGGCAGTGACTCCAAGACTCCTTTACCCAGGAGCTCCCTTGCCTGCTTGTTTCTGACTATCTGCCTACTCTAACGATAACAGACCTTATATGATACATTTGACATTCAGACTATTCAGGATGAAGGGATCACACAAATCCTGCAGCTCCCCTCACTGCAATTAACCAGTTCAAACACCAGAAAATTCATCCAGGAGCCATCAAAATAGTATAGTATATTCAGAAAAATCATTATTTGAAGAAACTTGAAGCAATAAGTACATAAAAAATGTCCCCATAGAATGTTCAGAAAATTCCACAGTAAAGAAAGAATTCTATGCTGTATATTCCAGAAGCATTTCATGGAGATAATAAAATCATGGTAACAAGTTTTGAAAATGCCCCCATTAACCCTATTTCAGTGTGTTGTTGATAAACAATTACTTTTCTTTACCACCTGTAATAGTGCATTCTTACATTGCCGTAAGAAAATACTTGAGACTGGGTAATTTATAAAGAAAAAGGGGCCAGGTGCGGTGGCTCATGTCTGTAATCCCAGCACTTTGGGAGGCCGAGACGGGCAGATCACGAGGTCAAGAGATCGAGACCATCCTGGCCAACAAGGTGAAACCCCATCTCTACTAAAAAAAAAAAAAAGAAAGAAATAGCTGGGCATGGTGGTGTGCACCTGTAGTCCCAGATACCGAGGAGACTGAGGCAGGAGAACCACTTGAACCCGAGAGGCAGAGATTGCAGTGTACCGAGAGCATGCCACCGCATTCCAGCCTGGCAACAGAGCAAGACTCCATCTCAAAAACAAAATAAAACAAAACAAAAAAGCATTTTCTTTTCTTTTTTTTTTTTTTTTGGAGACGGAATCTCACTCTGTCACCAGGCTAGAGTGCAGTGGTGTGATCTCGACTCACTGCAACCTCCGCCTCCTGAGTTCAAGCGAGTCTCCTGCCTCAGCCTCCCGAGTAACTGGGACTACAGGCGCATGCCACAATGCCTGGCTGGCTTTTTTTTTTTTTTTAGACTAAGTTTCGCTCTTGTTGCCCAGCCTGGAGTGCAATGGTGCAATCTCGGCTCACCACAACGTACACCTCCCTGGTTCAAGCAATTCTCCCACCTCAGCCTCCGGAGTAGCTGGGATTACAGGTATGCGCCACCATGCCCGGCTGATTTTTGTATTTTCTCTCCATGCTGGTCAGGCTGGTCTCAAACTCCCAACTTCAGGTGATCTGCCTGCCTTGGCCTCCCAAAGTGCTGGGACTATATGCGTGAGCCACTGCACCCAGCCCTAGCTAATTTTTGTATTTTTAGTGGAGATGGGGTTTCACCATGTTAGCCATGAGGATCTCGATCCACCTGCCTAGGTCTCCCAAAGTGCTGGGATTACAGGCAAGAGCCACTGTGCCCGGCAGGAAAAAGGTTTGATTGACTCACAGTTCTATATGGATGGGAAGGCCTCAGGAAACTTACAATCATAGCAGAAGAGGAAGAGGACCATCTTATATGGCAGCAGGCGAGAGAGACTGTACCCATAGGAGGAACTGTCAAACACTTATAAAAACCATCAGATCTCGTGAGAACTCACTCACTATCACAAGAACAGCATGGGGGAAACGGTCCCCATGATCTAATCACTTCCCAGCAGGTCCCACACTGGACATGTGGAGATTATGGGTATTACAATTCAAGATGAGATTTGGGTGGGGAAACAGAGCCAGGCTAACCATATAACTGTTATGGGATCATTGGGGTGTTGCTTTTCTTGCCAGAATCCTGTGACTGGTAATGCCTTTGTCCGAGTTTTACTCCGGCCAGCTGGGCTCATTCCACCCACTTTGCTTGGCATGCAGTGCTCAGCCCACATTACCGGCCTGGATCCCACACCTACCAAGGGTGAGTCAGGTGACGAGGGATGTGTGAGCAACTGAGTGTGAGGTCCGGCCACTGTGCAAAGCCGGGCACGTTAGCTGCGCAGGGCAGGCAGCTCTAGGTGCTGCCATGGGTGTCAGCTCCCTGTGAGGCTGCAGCTGGACCAGGCACACCACAAGCAGCTTCCACAGCTGGCACTGGGAACAACGTGGCACCTGGAAGCTTGGAGACCCCAGGAACCACAGGCCCCAAAAAGTGAGTCACAGCCCTGGCTCAGTGAGCTCCAGGTTTGGGCTCCCTGAAGAGCCACAACTCTTCTTTCCTTCTCTTTGCCCACGACATGGCGAGCAAGGGGCATGTTTCCGCCATGTTTGTGTTACAGCTTTTTTAGCCTCACCATTCGGTGGCAGATCCCCAGTTCTTGTCCTGAGTCCAGGAAGAATGAGGAACGCAGACAAGTGGAGGTTCAGCAGGACAAAGAGGAGCTTTATTAAGCCATAGAACAACTCAGAGACCTGCAGTGGGCGGCTCCTCTCCACAGCCAGGTTGTCCCGACACCTGTTCAGCTCTCCGCAGAGAGGGTAGCTCCTCTCAGGAGGGCAACTCCTCTCTGCAGCAGGTCATCGCTCATCTCCCTGTCCTCTCTGTCGGCTCTCTCCGTCCTCTGCTCCAGCCTGCCTGAGCCCAGGGCTTTTACAGGCCTCAGAGGGAAGTGCACATCATGGGTGGCCATGGGGCAGCCAGAAAAGGCACAAGTTCCCACTGCTGTCAGCAGGACTGGCAGCCCAACCTGGTGAGCAGGGCCTCACCAGGGACCTGCCTCTTTCTGCCCAGAAGGCTGTTTGCCTCCTACCACTATCCATGGTGACCAGGCTGCTCATGCCAAGGGGCACCTGTAGGCCACACCAGTTTCCTCAGCCCATCTTCCCTCAGCTTCCCCATGGCTGAGGTGGCAGGAGACTGGTATGTCAATGCTGCCCTGAGTGCGCACACACCTGACCAGGCTGTGACAGCACCAGGGCTGGGCCCACCTCCAATCTGAGATCAGAGCAGGAGCTGGGAGAGACCAGGGGAGAGGCCAGGCAGTGGGAGCAGCAAACACCCCAGAGACCAGGGACACGGAGGCCTTCTCAGCCTTGAGGGCGTGGAGTGCAGAGAGGACTGGACCCTGCTGTGGTAGGGTGGGTCTCCCACTCAATCTGTGGTGCCTGCAGGTAGCCCCTGTCACACCTTCTTGCAGCCTGAGATGGGCAGCTCCATTCGCTGGGCCCAGGCTGGCATCTGGGGCAAAGGTGATGTCTCTGCAAGATCTTCTCCTAGAACTCAGGGGTGGCTCAAGCCTGTAATCCCAGCACTTTGGGAGGCCGGGGCAGACGAATCACGAGGTCAGAAGATCGAGACCATCCTGGCTAACACGGTGAAACCCCGTCTCTACTAAAAATACAGAAAAATATTAGCAGGGCATTGTGGCAGACGCCTGTGGTCCCAGCTACTCGGAAGGCTGAGGCAGGAGAATGGTATGAACCCGGGAGGCGGAGCTTGCAGTGAGCCAAGATCACGCCACTGCACTCCCGCCTGGGCGACAGAGCAAGACTCTGTCTCAAAGAAAAAATAATAATAATAATATAAAGAATAATAATTATCTAAATGTAGAATTATACATGTAAAATTATATGATTACATCAACTGATGTAATTCATAGTTTTTCCCTAGGGTTCTCTTTTCTGAACATTCTGTAACATATTAGTTAGCAAAGTCTTCTTATATCTTCCCTTATGATAAAACAAGAGAAGCCTAATAGCAAAGGGCCATAGCCTCGGTCAAATGAGGAGATCATAATGGGAACCAGGAATGAGGAATTGAACACTCTTCACATAAAATATTAATCATTTTAAAACAGAGTTGTTCTGTCAACAGCTGACGTTGAGTCTTTGATCGATCTCTCAGACCCCTGAATACTTTGATTGCACAGTTGACCTTATCACATTGTTAGGATAAGTGCTATACAAAGGCACCTTCAGACCCTCCATTGCACATAGGTGACCCTGCAAACCCCTTGCCTGTGTGTGGTTTGGAGGTGCCACTAAACTTGAGGGCAGCATCAGGAGACACATTTGAAAAAAACTTTTACTCAGATTAAATTATTAAAAACTTTCAATTTCCTTTAACTTATTAGAGACATCCCTACCTGTAAAGAGGTGCAGATTGCACTCTCTAGTCGACAGTTGTCATTCTGTCATATCATCAGATACCTGGGGCTGCTGCTTCTTGAGGTGTCCAGAGAATCACAGTATTTTCCAGTATTGAAAGACCTGAAAGATCACGGTGCCTTCATTTCAACTGTGAGACATGAAGTAATTTTCCCAAATCTACAACATTAAGATATGGTGCAATAAGGACCAGATTAAAGGTCTGCACGTTGGCAACCACGTTCCCTCCATCTCCTTTACTCCTAAACACACTCACACACTCCCTTCTGCAAACAATTCTCTTGTCAAGTGGGAAATGAATGCTCTTACAAGGCTAAAACTTGTGAACACATCACTGACCAGCACAGAGCTGGCTCACAATAGGGACCCAATTAAAGTGTTTTACATGCAACTGGATCAAACCTTTCAAGTACTAAATTAAAACAATCCTTTAAAGAAGAAAATTGTTTCAGAAGAGGACCTTCATACTGAATCTCTGACCAGTGACTAATGATGCTATTGAACTCAGATGCTGATTGGTTCTCCAACACGAGATTACCCAATCCAGGAGCAAGGAAATCAGTAACTTCCTCCCTATAATTTGGAATGTGAGTGGAGGGGAGTCATAGTTCTCCCTGAGTGAGACTTGCCTGCTACCCTGGCACCTGGTCCTGTCCTGTTCTCCAGCATGGTGTGTCTGAGGCTCCCTGGAGGCTCCTGCATGGCAGCTCTGACAGTGACACTGATGGTGCTGAGCTCCCCACTGGCTTTGGCTGGGGACACCCGACGTAAGTGCACATTGTGGGTGCTGAGCTACTATGGGGTGGGGAAAATAGGGTGTTTTGTTAACATTGTGCCCAGGCCATGTCACTTAAAAGATTGTGACTTTTTCAGAGATTGCCCATCTTTATCATTGGATCCCAAATTATTTCCACCACAAAAGGAGCTTGGCTACTTGCCGTCTCCATGAGACTGTGTAAGGGGACTCCATGCAGGTCGTTTCTTTTTCAAATCTACACCAATAAAACCTTTGCATCACATGTCCTCAGGGTCTTTAGAGGATTTAGAAATAAGGATGCTAAAATAAATTCCCCATACAACACTTCCCTTTATTATGTTGACTTATGTCAGACAAAAGCAGGTTTTCACTGAAAATTTTGTGGGAAAACAAGGGAATTCAAAGTGTCTCTCCTAGACAACCCTGGGTTATGTCCTCCCAATGTGCCAGGATTAAAGATGTAAGCCACTGTGCCCAGGCAAAAAGAGATGACTCTTAATAAAAAGATTTCCTTTTTCTTAAATCACTGTTTCTTTATCTCTGAATTCTTCTTCCAACTAGAAGGAGGAGAAAGAAGAAGTTTGTCTGTATTTCTCACCAGGAGAAGGGGTCTAGTGTGACATCAAAATGAAAGAGTGCTGGAGCTTAAGCCCCCTCTTGCTTTCCAGGATCCCCGCAGTGATCAGTTCCCATACCCTGGTTTATTCATGTAAACCACGCTTCTTTTTCTCAGCAGCTGCTGTGGCCTGGGCTCCATTCTAGGTTCAAATCATTCTGTTTGATTAAGATAGAGAGGGTCTCTACTCTCATGGAAGTTACACAAGTGTAGAAGAGACAGACACTAACCCAATAAGCATTTAACAAAGAAGAAAATGTTAGAGAGACATCGTGCACTGAAGAAAAGACATCAGGTTCGTGAAAAGGGAGAAATGGATTCACCTACTTTAGTTCGTATGTTTAGGGAGCAGTACCTGAGAAAGTGACATTCAGCTGAGACAACAAAATAAGTAGACAGTTGTCAAGATCTAACGGATGAAAGTTCCAGGGAGACCAAATCAGGGGAAAACCCTGGTGTGGGAAATTATGTGGAGGGAGAGAAAGAAGGCTAGAGGGGCCGATGTATAGAAAGCAAGGAAATGGAGAGGCAGAAGATGAAGTAAGACACAGAGAGGAAGTCAGGAGCCTCGTCATTATAGGCTCTGATGTCCATGGTAAAAAATTTGAATTTTATTTTATTTGTATTTATTTTTAAATTTAATTTAATTGTATTTTTTTGAGACGAGGCTTCATTCGTGTTGTCCAGGCTGGAGTGCAGTGGCGTAATCTCGGCTCACTGTAACCTCTGCTTCCCGGATTCAAGTGATTCTCCTGCCTCAGCTTCCCAAGTAGCTGAGATTACAGGCACCCACCACCATACTGGCTAACTTTTTGTAATTTTAGTAGAGATGGGGTATCACCATGTTGACCAGGTTGATCTTGAACTCCTGACCTCAGATAATCTGTCTGCCTTGGCCTCCCAAAGTGCTGGGATTACAGGCATGAGCCACCACGCCCGGACTGAATTTTATTTAAATAGATATGATAAGTTACTGTATGGTTACAGAGAGAGTCAATTTATATTAACTTTTGTTTGTTTGTTTGTGATGGAGTCTCGCTCTGTTGCCCAGGCTAGATTGCAGTGGCACAATCTCGGCTCACTGCAACCTCCACCTCCTGGGTTCAAGCAATTCTTCTGCCTCAGTCTCCAAGTAGCTGGGACCACAGGCGCATGCCACTACACATGGCTAATTTTTTGTATTTTTAGTAGGGATGGGATTTCACCGTGTTAGCCAGGGTGGTCTCGATCTCCTGACCTCAGATGATCCACCGACCTCAGCCTCCCAAAGTCCTGGAATTACAGGCGTGAACCACTGTGCCCTGCTTATATTCAATTATTAAAATTAATCCTACCTAGTCTGTGGCGATTGGATTGCTGGGGTTCACGAGTGGTCAGGAAGACTATTTAGGAGCACAGCAGGGAATTCCCCTGGGAAAACAAGCTTGTGGCTTCATGGAGTGCATTAGTGATAAAGACAGTGAAAAGGATAAAGTGGACAGACTTGGCATCTATTTTTGCTTAGTTTGTTAATGAATTACTGTAAAGGGGGTGGAACAATCAAGCTTATTCCTAAGGATTTTGTTTTGACAAACAAGTGGGTGGTGGTGTTTTTTATTGATACAGGAAAAACTATGCGAGGAAATGACTTGAAGAGGGTGGTTGGAAATAAAAGTTTTGTTTAAATTTCAGATGATTTATTGACATTCATGTAGAAAAATCAGAAGGTCAGTGGCATTTAAGAGACTCATGGTGAGGCTAGGGTTTCAGATATTTATGTTGGCGGCATCAATACGTGTAGTGTGTTAAATTTCAGGGAGTGGAAGAGGATACATAGGGAGATGGATTGTGCAGAGAAAAAAGAAGAGGGCACAGGCCAGCAAAGGGGGCTAAGAAAGAGCCCAGAGATGTTGGAGAAAAAACGAGAGAACATAATGAGTGTAAGTCAAGGAAAACAGATTTTTTTTCAAGGAGAAGGGAGAGGCCAATTGTGGTGGGTACCACTAAGAGGAGGAGGGGTGAGAACCTGACAGAGAAGCAAGCGCTGGGTTTGGTGGAGTTGATATTTGCAGTCAATCGAGTACACAGGGAGGAAACTGGATTGGACTGTTTGAAGAGCGAGTAGAAGTGAGGATGAGGTTAAGGTTGACTGGAGGCAGGGAGGGGTCCCCAAAACCTGGGGATCAAAAGGGGTTTTCCCGCCTGGGCCCCCAGGCCCCCGTTCGTCTCAGGAAGACGGAGGACCAGCCCCTGGGCTGCTGGGGTTGGGCGGTGCGGGTGGGGCGGGTTAAGGTTCCCAGTGCCCGCACCCGCCCAGGAGCCCCGGATGGCGGCGTCGCTGTCAGTGTCTTCTCAGGAGGTCGCCCGTGTGACCGGATCCTTCGTGTCCCCACAGCACGTTTCTTGGAGCAGGGTAAGTCTGAGTGTCATTTCTTCAATGGGACGGAGCGGGTGCGGTTCCTGGAGAGACACTTCTATAACCAGGAGGAGCTCGTGCGCTTCGACAGCGACGTGGGGGAGTACCGGGCGGTGACGGAGCTGGGGCGGCCTGACGCCGTGTACTGGAACAGCCAGAAGGACTACCTGGAGCAGAAGCGGGGCCAGGTGGACAACTACTGCAGACACAACTACGGGGTTGGTGAGAGCTTCACAGTGCAGCGGCGAGGTGAGCGCGGCGGGGACGGGGCCTGGGTCCCTGTGAAATGGGAATGTGAGTGTGTGTGTGTGTGTGTGTGTGTGTGTGTGTGAGAGAGAGAGAGAGAGACAGAGAGAGAGAGAGAGAGAGACAGAGAGACAGAGAGAGAGACAGCGCCATTTGTGAGCATTTGGAATCCTCTCTATCCTGACCAAGCAGTTCTGAGGGCACAGGTGTGTGTGTAGAGTGTGGATTTGTCTGTGTGGCTGTTGTGGGAGGGGAGGCAGGAGGGGGCTGCTTCTTATCCTTGGAGGCCTCTGTGGGGAGGTGACATGGGAGGTGGGTGCAGGGGACTGGAGAGAGAGGAGACCTTGATTGTCTGGTGTCCTTAGAGATGCAGGGAAGGGAAGTGTAAGGAGTATGTGGTTGGGATGAAGGTTTAGGGGAGGAGAGCTGAGGGGTAAGGAAGGTTTGGGATAATGTGAGGAGGCCAGTTCCAGACACACCCTTCATGTAATCTCTGAAATAAAAAGGTGTGGTGTTCATTTGCAAAAGCATTAAATTAATTTCTAGGGGAATTGAGGAGATCTCTGAGGCACCTGGAAGTTTCTTTAGGTCTAAATTTCCTGCTAGTTTTTTTTTTTTTTTTT